AAATTTGGTTTTCAAAGTACACCTCATGCATTTCCTGGCTGTGAGACTTTTGGGTACATCTTCAGCCTTGGAGAATGTTTGTCATTGCAAAACTGGAATAATAACACCTATAGCAGAGGGTCATTTTGTGTATTAAATAGGTTGATGTGTGTAAAATATTTAACAAGGACAAGGGAGACACAGATGCATCCTATAAACTAACATTTACTATTAGCAAGATAGTAATATGTATAGATGTAACACTGTAGCTATTTTGCTATTAAATAAAGTGTGGAAATGCCAGGTCAGTAACTGCTGGGTCCCCTCTTGTATTTCTCCACTTAATTTCCCCTTATATTCATTGCGGGTCTCTCCATGTTGTCATTGGAGGAATCAGAGGACTGCAAAGGGGATACTGGCTTGTCTATCAGTACCTGATGAATTAGCAGAGGCAGAGAAAGACAGAAAGGGGCAGTTAAGGGACCAGCAGTTAGTGTAATGGCTATGTCGCTGGACTCCCATGTAGTTGACCGCGGTTCAAGTCCTGGACCTGGTGGCTTAAACTCACGCCAGGCATATGTATGTGTGTGCCCAGGATCCCGAGAGGAGATTAAAGGAGAAGGGATTACAGCATGGCCATCCTCTCTAGGGGGGTGATTTCTCACTTTCTCTCTCTCTGTCTTTCTGACCAATGCACACGCCCTATAGCAAAAGCCTCTCAAAAAAAAAAAAAAAAGAAAGAGAAAGGGGCAGGGGCAGTGAATTCGTGCCTGTGCTGCAGCTGATCGAGCTAGGATGTGAGGGGCTGTGCTGCTGTTCCAGCTGGTTTTAAATTTACGCCTCCTGGGGCCCTACTATGTGATAGGTACTTACCATGTCCTTTGTGCTCATGTTTTGTTTAATGAACAAAGGATTTCAGTTCATCCTTGTATACTATTAAGTATCATTATCCCCATTTTATAGATGAGAATAGTGAGGCTAGAAGAAGTTTAATAGCTTTCTGAATCTATTTCCAACTGTAACTTAAAGTGGCAGCATTCCATGTGAAGACTGCCTACCTCTGAAAGTCATGCACTTCCTGCTCCACAAAATCAACCATTGGAAGGAGGGAAATACACTTGAATAAACCAATTTTAATTAAGCTAACTAGAAAAAGTAAAATTAGGAGCAGATAAATGCCATTAATTGTATCATACCATCAAAATATTTGATATTTAAAGAAGACAGATCTTAAAAAGACCAAGTACTGTTTAAGTATTATTTCATAGGTGCCCAGAGTTGTTTTTTTTTTTTTTTTTTTTTTTAAGAACAGAAGGGACAGGAAAGGAAGGGAATAAGTTGATGGAGAATGAATAATGGTAAAATTAATTGGTAGATTCTCACTGGTTTCAATGTAGTCTTTAGCCCTGGGGGATGGTCAAAGAACACCTTGCTGGAAGAGAAATCTAGGTACTCATCAGCTCTGCTGAAGTATCTTGACTTTGTTCATTCTTTTTCCTTTACTTAAAAAAAGAAATGCTAGAGGGTGTATGCACTTGCTAGTGAGAAAGAGAGAGAGGGAAAATGAGAAAGTACCCCCCAGGGGCTTGTCCATACCATAGTCTATTCTCCTCCATTCTCTTTTGGGGATTTTGGACATCTATGCATATGTATCTGGCATGTTTTTCAAGTCATTGGGTCCAGGTCTCAAACAATGTAGTTGGCCATGTGAGATCCAGCACTTTAACCTTTATGCCACCTGCTGGCCCCCTTTTAAATTGAATTTGCTAGAGGGTACATGTACTTGCTGGACTAGGGGTATAGAGAGAAAGTGAGAGAGCACCCCCTATAGGGGATAGCCATACTGTAGTCCTTTTCCATTCTTTTGGGATTTTGAAGCATGCACACATGCTTGTCTGGTGTGTTTTTCAAGTTGCTGGGTCTGGGACTTGAACCATGACCATAGTTGGTCATGTGGGTTCCAGGCCCCCAACCACCATGCCACTGACTGGCTCATTCATTCTTGATACATGAATTAAGCTGTGTAGCATTTTGTCCCCGAGAATCCATAATGACCCCCTTGAATGGGAAGAAAAAGAATGCATACCTGTCCTTACCTATCATTTCTGCTAGGGGATTCTCATCGAAACATCATCATGTGGCTGGACCATCGAGCAGTCAGTCAAGTTCAAAGGATCAATGAGACCAAGCACAGCGTCCTCCAGTATGTTGGGGGGTTGATGTCTGTGGAAATGCAGGCCCCGAAGCTTCTGTGGCTAAAAGAGGTGAGTGTATAAGAAGAGGAGAGGATATTTACCCTACCAGGGGATTCCATTAATTGTGAATGTGTATGTAGCAGGCACCCTGCTAAAGTCAGTTATGCTTGATGTTTCCCAGAAACTCTCTGAGGAAGATTGATTCCATTTTATTGATTTGGTTGTAGTTTAATCACTCTTGCTTCATATGCTTAACTCTTCCCAGGCATCGTGATAAGTATTTTATACAATACCTTTTTGAATCTTAACAACTACTCTGGGAAGTAGTTTTTTGTTTATTTTGTCTTGTTTTGTTTTGATGGAAGGGGATATCTCTTTCATAGATGGATAAACTAAAATTCATGGAGATAAACCAACTCACCAAAGTGACCCGACTATTTGGCAGAGCCAGGATTTGGACCTACAGCTGGCTGACTCTAAAATTGTTTCTCTTCATATCCACTATTCTGCTGAAGTTCAGAGAGGTTTGTTCCCACTCTAATTAGAAAGCAGCAGACCTAGGGTTTAAGTCCAGATTTTCTGTCCAGCAGCTTTCTCTTCTATATGCTTTTAGCCTCAACTTATTAGTCTTTGGCCATATTGACATTTTAGTGTATCCCTTTGTCATCTCACCTGCATTTGAGTTTCCATGTTCTTGAGTGATATGGTGATCTCTGGTTAGAGCACTTGCAGGTGGTTCTCATTTCCAGATGTGAGGACTTCTTTATGAAGTGTGGAGAATGGTGATGTCAGCTTAATGGTTCCCATTAGAGATGGATGTGTGAGAGAGTTCAAGTCCTTTGGGAACCTTGGGGACTTGAAAACCCCTAGGTGGTCTGGTGAATAGAGAATCCATCTCTTGAGCAAGACCTGGCGTGATTCATTTACTGGCTGTGAGGTTTCGGGTGGGCTGAGTCTTCTAATTACTCAAACTACATGTGGAGATGGGGAAGCTTAATAAGCTCTGAGATGGTGCCCTCAGATTGTCAGCATGGAGCGGGAAGGAGGTAAGTAAAAAGGACTTCAGTCATCGGGATAGTTATCTGTTTTATATATTGAGCTGTTTGGTAAATTGTAATTTTCAGAAAATCTTATACTATGGTTGCTAGGAGTTGAAAAACACCAAGTTTCTTAGGAGTTAGGAGTCTGAAGAATTTGCTTCTGACTGTCAACAAATGTGTACTTTGGGCAAACCACTTCTTATCTCAGGCCTCACTTTTTCCATCTATCAAGCAAGAGAGTTAAATCAGATCACTTTGAAATCCTGATCCAAATACATGCTGACACACAAATCAGAGAACTGTTCTGTATTGACCCCACACTCTATTATGTGTTTTGTAGGCATTAATGAATTTAATCCTAACCAGCTTTGTCTAGTAGATAGTATGGAAAACTGGGGCTGAGAGAATGGTTATATGACTTTTCCAAACAAACAGCAGAGCCAGAATTTAAATGTATGTATCCTGGGGCTCCAAATCATCTTGATTCTATCTTGTTAGGCAGTACTAAAATATTTCCATGAAGCGTGCCACTTGGGGAGGACCAGAAATGAGTATAGTGGTATTCTTCAAGCTGGCCCAAACTTGTTGCAAGAAAAGATGTGTTTTGAATGTATCACCTTTTTGACAACAGAGAAGGAAGAGCAGTACTCAGCTCAGGAGGAGGATCGGGCAGAGGGTCATCTGCTGTGTGCCCAGTTTGGGCTATATATCCCAGGAGGGCTAAATTAACATCTGCTATGAACTTCTTAGGATGCTTACCATCTTGCTGATCAAACTCAAGATCAGAATATATTAAATAACGCCCATGGCATGTTTGGGACATTCTAGAAGCATCTCATATTAATTCATTTTAAAAAAAAGCTATTCCTTTCAGAATTTTCTGGTTAAAGCTCTAAACATTACCTCATTGTGTATTTAACTACCTGAAAGTTGAGCCCCAAATCCATTTGTTTTTGCTTCTTTGGTAAGCTTGGAGAATTCATGCAGAGGATCTTAGTAGTTTTAGCTTAATTGTAAATTCAAGATTAAAGATAATTCTAAAATCACTTTTAGCATCTTATCTACAGAGCCTTACCAAAATGTCTTACAGTGCTTCTCAAACTTTAATGTGTAAATGAATCACCTGGAGATCTTGTTAAATCACAGATTGTTATTCAGTAGATCTGAGTAGAGGCTGAGAATTTGAGAATTGGCATTTCCAACAAGTTGCCAGATGATCCTGATATTGCTGGCCTGCAGTTATAATGCTGCTTTTATTATTATTATTATTATTTTTATTTTGAATTTTGCCACCAAGTGTTTCCCACAGAGAGACAGAGACACACACAGAGAGAAAGGAATATCACCCCCATGGGGCATAGTCATTGATGCAATCCCTTATCCTCTTATTTCTCTCTTTTGGGACTTAGGTCATGCATGTGTATGTGCCCAGCATGTTTTTCAAGTGGTCAAGTCAGTACTGCACAGTCAGCCATGTGGGATCTAACTACCTTAACCACCAACTGGCTCTACTGCTCTAAAGGCCTGCTCTTGCACCTGTGGAGAATCAGGAATGTATCTTTTTTTAATTCATTGATAGAGACACAGGGAAGTTAGATTCAAAAGAGCCATTCAAATGCACATTCGAAATAAGAACATGAGACTCTTGGAACACAGCCACACATTTGTTTACATATTGTCTGGACCTGTCTTTGCATTACAGTCACAGGGCTGAGTAGTAGACAGAAACTTAAGGACCTGCAAAGCAGAAAAAAATGGACATCTGCTGGGACTTACTAGATGAACATGTTTTTCTGAGTGGGGAGAGCTGTGGATTAGAAATAAATGTAATAACAAATACAGAAAGACAGACGAGTATAGAAAAGCGAGGATTGGGTGGGCTCAGGTTCTTTGATGGAGAAGTTGTGACCTCTAACCCGGCTCAGGTTTATTCTTTTAAAGGGCAGAAAATAGGGTAAGAGGAAATAGAACACAAAGCCAGTTGTTTTTGGATGTAAATTGTCTGAAGATGTGAAAACTACTGGCGCCATGTAATTTCTCTAATATTTTTTTGGGGGAGAAGCTGATAAACACATGTAGCTTCCTTTAGCCTTATACTGCCTTGCAATTTCAGGTTATCAGGTATCAACAACTGGAAGATAACCAGTAACAACAGGTAGATAGTGCTTTCGTATGTAAATACCCTCAATAGCCATGCTAGAGTAGCTCACTGAATCACATTTGTGCATGGGTCTAGAGGTCACATGTTTTCTCAAATTGTCACTCTCTACAGACATCTAGAGAAAAAGTATGCTGACCCCTGGTCTTGATGATGCAATGCATTCTGCCCAGAATATTCTTTCCTGTGCTCATCACTGATTCTTCCTTATCGTTTAGCTTTCAGCATTATGTTTGCTTCCTTAGAAAGGACTTTCCTGACCCTCAAATAAATCAGAAGTCTTTTGTCATCACACTCTTAATTTTATTGCATTACATCTTTCATAACTTGTAATGATATGTCAGTTTGTGGGATGATTTGTAGAATCCTTGTCCCCTCCAGCTGTTGCACTCTCAGGGATGGAGATCATATTCATTTTGTTCATAGCTTTGTCCTTATCAGAGGACTGGCACATGGTAGGTACTTGAATGATCTGAGTACTCCATTGAGGAGCTTTTGAAGTATTCCAGGTGAGAACTAATGAGACCTGAGTTAGGTACTGTGGGATGGAGAGGAGATGGGCTTCAGAAACCTTGAGGGATGATATCAACAAGACTTGGAGATTGGTTGTCTCTAAGGGATGAGTCAGATGGAGGAGTCAGAGTAACCACTCACTTCAGTATGGCTATAACTCACGTATTCCTTCTCCTTAGCCTAGAATCAGATGTCAGATGGAGTTGGGCAGGGTTTGGAGTTCAGACTTCCAGAAGACAGACGAGATGTGCTAGGACCACCATGGCCCTTGGGCAAAGTCACTTGGGTCCAAGTCTTGCAATATGGAATTTTAATCATGTCCTTTACACTTAAGGTTTATGTGTTTCAGGTTGACGTATGTCCTTTTAATAAGAATTGTCAGATAAAAGGAAAAATACCATTTGAATTTTTCATAACCCCCAGCAGTCTGGCTTTTCCATTTGGTCTCAATGATTCTGACTCTCATCTTAATGAAGGCCAAATGTAAATTCTGTTCTGTCAAGCAAGAGCAGCTGGAGCCTCCTATCTGTATAAACATGAAACATTGTAGGGTAACAAGGTGCAGACCGAGGAAGGTCAAGAAAGTTAACGGGCTGATGCTGATCCTGACAGCTCAATGTTAATGGAAGATAATTAACGTGGCTTGTACAGGCTACGTGGAGCTATTCCAATGTCTTTTAACTCATTTCCTCTTTTTGCCATTGTCAGCAGAGCAGAAAGCTAATCATTTTATAGTCTGAGCTTTTCATCGTTCATTCCAAAGGTCTGAAACCAACTGACTGGAATGTCAAAGGATTTCGTTGATGGGTTGAGCAAATGTATCTGCCCCTAATGTCTACCCAGTCCGTGTTCTTCTGATAACATATTGGGAAAGTGAGTAAATGTCTCTCTAATTCGTTCTAATTAGGAATTCTTCGAAAACCTGGGAGTTAGGATGCCTGGAGAGGTAGTATTTTGGTAAGTTCCTGATAGCTATGAAAAATCTCAGTTGAGTGTTTTGTTGTTGGAGAAGAAAACTCTGCTAAAAGTCATGAAAGCCTTGTTACTCTAGTCCTGACTATAAAGTAAGAGACTTGCCCCAGCTAATTTTTACCAGTTTATCTGGCTTTGTTATTTCATTCCTTTTGATGGTATAATAACATCTTTTCCCTGTTCTAAGCTTTATTCTAATCATGAAACTCTATAAAAGAAACAATACACTTTTTTTAGATTATTTTTTTTTTTTTTAATGGCAATGTGGTAGAAACTATAGTCTCTCAATTAGTTACTCTGGCTTAAATTTTCACATATAAGTCTAGTATTGTTCACATATATTCATTAAGTCTTACCAAATTATAAGATACTGAGGAACTTCAGGA